TTTCCCCCTCGAAGAAGCAAAGCATTTGTTGCATAATGATCATGTTGCCTATTATTGATTGGGACAACCACAAATGGTTTTGCGTCTTGCAATTTCTCATGGTCTTCATTTTACTCATTGCTTTCAAATAAAGTTTCTTTGCTGAACCCTTGTTTTTAGGTTATTAATACACTTCCTGAAAACCCAGCACCTTCATATTTACAGAGCATATCAGCTGCGAACTGATAGAAGCTGAGTGCATCGTATCTTATCCTGTCCCGGGCAGTTAAACATTGAAATTATCACATTATTCACACTGCAATTACCTGCGCAATTGGCAAACTAGATATGAGTGCCAAAGGTCTCCCAGCAGACTTTCTATGAAGTGGCCTGAACTTGGAAGGAGGACGATTTGTTGCCAAGCTCCCTGCAGCCACCGTGACCTCCCAAGCAGTGTTTTCTCTTCAACACAGCTTCAGCATGTTTTCACTGTGGGTCCTGGGCTCATAAAAGGCTTTAATTAGAGGGCATCCTTTAGCTGAGTGCAACTATCAGTCATTCATTTTGCATTTATGGCCCTTTTTTTCCTGCTCCTATAAACCTCTGCTGAAACGCCGTATAGATGTCTTGAGAGGAGCCTGTGGAAGAGATAAGACACCTATAACTTTTCTGTATCAGCACTGAGGTTCACTCTGTCTCCACTGGGTCGTAACCCTTGGCCAAGCACAGACGCCCACGATTGTTTCCGAAACATTAGCACGGTGCAACAGTTTCAAGGCACCACTCGCCTGTTTATTCTTCACTTTCGTGACTTTCATGTGATATTTTACAGTGGTCTTGATCACTAGTTTGTCATATATTCTGACAGTCCCTCAAAGTTTCCCAGCACACTGTGAAGTTTGTGCATAACAAACGAGGAAGGTCAACAAACAGGACAAAAGAAGAACAAGGCCTAAAATGGTCGATGACACAAGAACAGAACTGAAGAATGTAGCAATATATTAAAACAGGTCCTATAAAATGTGCCCTGCTTCTGCTGATAAACTGTTCAAATTTAGAGAGTTTGGTGAGTCAAGTTATTTGGGCCAAATATTCTGTAAAACTATCTATATTGACAGTTTCCCACAGATTCTACTCCATAAATGGGAGGAAACTGTGTCTTTGACAGGAAGTTTTTAGTCATGTCTTAGCATGACACTGGTTCAACCTTTGTGTTTTGAAGTCCTTTAAATACCTGAATGATTCTTAAGTCACAGAATCTTAACATATAGAAACATTCTGTTTTAAAAGTGTCATGTTCAGACAAAAATGAGTTTAAAAAAAAAGCAGCTAAAGTCTAAAGAAATACTTTAAAAGACCTGCCGAAAGCTTGAAAATATCCATCAAGTCCACTTCAAAAGATTATTTGGGAATCTTTGCAAACAAAATGTGGAGACTCAAGACTTTCACACTATAACACATCATGAAAAGAGGCATTATGTCCATGCACAAACTGTGAATTCACTCCAGCTTCCTTGTTAAAGATTTTATGTTAACAAGATAGTCTTGATTGGCATCCAAGATTCTGACTTTGAACAAAGAGAAAGACTTATGTGTTAGCATGCCAACAACGCAGGTTGGAATACCTGACTTAAGTTCAAGTCAAACAGCTACTGTACGAGCCATGAGAACAAACTGCTGTCCAGATCCCATCCACCAACCATGCAATGAGTCACTGCAGCTTGGGCAAACAAAGTTGTCTGGAGTGACTCATAACCACTCCGGCACATTGGTACAAGGAACACGTGGACGATGTGCAGCAGGCAAGTCAAGGCAAAGGGCTGCAGCCATTCACACTTGAACAAATCTCCTTGATCTACCTCACACTGAGCTGTCCGGTACACTCACACAGTGTAAACACGTGAACGTGCATGTGATCAGTGGGTTCAATTCGTAAAAATAATAATTATTTTTTTATTCGTTGCAGCATTGTGCCGCTGGATTGGTTCGTTTGAACTCACCTGCTTGCCCTCACACGGCCAAGTTATGTGTACTTGCAGCTAATAAGACATTGTGAACTGCAGCAATCATACAGTGAGTCATTACATCAACACGCACATCGTCTTGTCTTTTGGCACTCGATGGTTCCCATCACATTATTTAAATCTGTCCTCATGCCCGTCCCTGCACGTTTGTACATTAAGTTCAAATAAGTGTGTATGACTAGCTAATCTAATTTTTGTTCCTTTTTTTTTTTGCTTACTTGCAGTTTCAACTTAATAAAAGCAAACACACACACCTGTCCACCAGGCAGTTACGGTAGCTTTGCATATCCTGTCCCCACTTTAAAACAGGATTTAGAGCTCAATTTGTCATAAAGAGAACTAACATCTCCAAGTTAGAACACACTAATCTGATGCACAATGATTTTGCATTCTCGCGTGTTGTTATTCAGGAACTTTGATGTATGCTGAGGGATTTCTTTGGTTACTGTAAGCTGAGCTTTATTGCTCGAAGGTGAATCCTTGCAGGAAAACGGGACAAACTGTATTGAAGTTAACATTAAATTAGACTCGATGCCAACTAACAAGACACGACAGAACGTACAGTACTCCTTGATGAAACTCTTTGTTATACAATGTGTGCCCATTAAGTTGGTAATTTATAGGAAGGAATGCAGTCATTCCTGCCGATGGCTTCGGGCTGATTAAAAGAACAACTTGATGATCCAAGTTAGTAAGGACTTACGCATGCATGCATGTCTAAGATTTCAAATTTGATGGCTTCAGCTAGAAAAATATCTTTCATTAAGTAATAGTTTTTGTTTTTAGTTGAAATTTGTATGTCAGTCAACTCCGGAGGTTACTTATTTCAAAACAAATGACAAAAAATACACTCATAACTTTATTTTTATTTTTTTTTTTTTACAAAAACTCCATTTCTTGGACCATATTGTTTTATTCAAATGTACCTCATATGATGAATTTGCATGATTAAATGGCCATCTCAAAAGGAGGAGCTTCTGATTGGCTGATATTTGAATCAAAAGTAAACAAGTTACAGCTGCATATCACGTAACTGCAACGTATGACTGTTAGATATCAACATGAGACCAGTGCATGAAAAAAGCTTCTCATGCTAAACAAATCCAGCTCTGATGGTTATTTTAATTTGCAAAGTACATAATCAGAATTCAGTGATGGGATTCACATAAATGTATTTTATTTCTTTGCTCTAAATGCTGGACAGATGAATGCTTTCACAATAACACCAAACAGTGAGAGCTATGTAATTCCCCCCCCCCCCCCCTTTTTTTTGTTTGCAGAATCATGCAGAGTTACTATAGACATGGATACAATCATCGGTACTTTCCTTTTTATGTCCCAGTGTCCAGTTTTAATTTGTTCACAGATTTCCAAAGCATTTGCCACGGTAAAACACTACTTTGTGCTACCTGAACCACAATGCAACACTTCTTGCACCTCCTGCAAATGATGATTCCATAGGTGGAAAAGCCAGTGTCACATGTTCTGCCCATCCAGGCCCAATGGGTGAAAGCCTTGATTCACATATGGACACCAACCCTATGCCTGGCTCCAGAGTGAGAACACCGGTACTTGCTTTATCCATGAAATGTCTTTGAAACTGCTCCTTGTCTCACCATTCTCCTGGGACCAATTTGCAGTGGGACCTTACCAGGGTAAAATACCCCAGACCATCCAGCTTCTAGGATCATTAAGGCACTCAGACTCCTCCACCACATGAAGAAGATGGTTGAAGGTGAAAACTTTTACTGGTTAATCGTCACTTTTGGTCATGAACTTTTGGCAATGACAGAAAGAACAGCATTAAGAATTAAGCAGTTTAAAATACAGGTGAAACTCCAAAAATGTCAATGTGGTGCAAAAGTCCATTTATTTCAGTAATTCAACTTATTAGACTGAGAGACCATCTAAAGGCTTAGGAAGTCTCTGCAGGTGTTTTGGATTCATTAGCTGATTAGAGTGTGACACTGTGAGGCTACAATACTGAACCTTTTCATAATGAACTAATTATCTGAGACTTTGAATGTGGAGTTTTCATAAGCTGTAAGCCAACAAATAAAGGGTTAAAATGTCTGGCTTTGCATGGAATGAATCTATCTCATATATCAGTTTCATCTTTTAAGTCTGAATTATTGACATAAATGAAATTTTGCATGATATTGAAATTTTTGGAGTTTACCTGTGAGTCCCCTCTGCGTGATCAGCCACTCATCTGAGAGGAGTGGAGCTGCTGCTACTCCATACTGAGAGGAGCCATTTGAAGGGGCGTGGGCATGATGTTTGGGGAGCCTCCTTGACGCCTTCCAGTGGAGGTGTTTCAGGTACATCGTGCTAGCAGGAGGTCCTTTGGTCAAACCAGGCCACACTGGAGGGAATTATATCTGATCTGCTCTGATTTAGGTCCTGTTGAACATCTGAGGAAGGAGCTCAAACAGGTAGTCTGGACAGTTAGCTAAGACTCAACTGCTTCGATTGACTTGTTATTTTTGTGGCTGTTTTGTGTCTTTTTTTTCTTTAACACAAGTGTACAAAAGGTTTTATCAAGCGCATCTATTTCACATGTTCAACAGTAAAACATACAGATGAAGTTTAATAAAAGAAAAAGGAAAAAGCCTTTTTTTTAAATGTTTTTTATTAATTAGGCATTTTGAAAGAACTCGGATTGTGTTTTCATAAGCAGTGGTAAAGAGGAAGCCATGCTGATTCTGCAGATTTAGTTTTCCTGCGTGTTTTTCTACGCAACCCTTCTGCACTGCTGTCAGTCCGTGTTTGACATCTTTATTAACCGACACGTTAAAATTTGACTGGCAGTCTTGAGTGTGATCCTAATTGCTTTTCAACAGACAAAATGTTTCCTTCTTAATGCATGCATTGTTTGCTGAGGAGGCGTACATCGGTTTGTGTGAGCAGAGGCGGAGCTGGCCTAAATGGCGCCCTGTGCGAGATCCCCCGTGACGCCCCCCCCCCCCCCCACACACACACACACACACACACACACACAAACACACACACACACAAGAAAAAAAATTACACCTACAACTTTGTTTCAAATGGCGTGGAGTGTATTATAAATAACAACGTTTGCTAACTGAATACAACATCCAGCTCCTGGCCACCTTCTCACCACTTGTCAAAGTTCTACTGAAAAAGTGATGATGACAACATCTGCCATCGCCTTCATTCCTGGGAAATATGAAAGTAGTTGGCACCTTAGTAGGTCCTCTTCGAACTAGCTCTGTGCGTATGCTGTCTGTAATTGGTGATGGCCACTTGGCTGGGTCTGAAGAAAGAGGCTCATCATCACCTTCAATGGGACTCACTGGTTGATCGTTCAGGCTTCTCTATTGACAGAAAACAGAAGCGTAACTCAACACATTGCTATGTGGACCATTTCACATATTCTATTAAAATACAATATGTGACATTCAAATTTCTCTAATGTTTGCAGGACACACACACACACACACACACACACACACACTTGTGCAAAACTTACCTGACATATCTTGTTGGGGAGATGTGGCAGCGGGCTGTCCCTCATCAAGTTCACATATACTGGTAGGTCTCTCTATTGACAGAAAATGGAAGCATAACTCACCACATTGCTATATGGAACAATTCCCATATTCTGTGAAAATACTATTTAAATGTCTATAGCTAAATGTTTGCTGGACACACACACGTGTGCAAAACCCACCTAAAGTATCTTCCTGGGGAGATGTGGTGCCAGCAGACTGTCCCTCCTCGAGTTCAAATACTGGCCTACTGGTATGAACAGTGGAGGTAGCTGGCTGTTCCTCAGTGGCAGCTGATGCCATCCCAAAATATCTGTGTAGGGCTCCTGATGTTGCATAAAACAAACAATACAATCTTCATGTCACGTCTGTTGCTAAAGCATTTTAATTAAGATGTTACAATGAGCATTTACAGTTTTCAGCAGTGGTGGAAAGAATTCTGAAAATCTGTACTCAAGTACAAGTACTGTTACATTGCTAAAATATTACTCATTTACAAGTAAAAGTACTGGTGTTAGAGAACTACTCAAGTAAAAGTACAAATTATTCATAAAAACCACAGAGTATTATTTATTTTTAACGGCTGATGTCACCATCACTTCTCCAGACTGGGGCTGCCTGGAAATTGTGTTTTCCTTTACCAAAAGTTAAAACACCAACAATCTATTAATCATTAATAATTGATAAAATACAAAACAAGTGTTTTTCCCTCTTTTTTTTTTTTGTCATTTTAAGTTTTTATTTCCTTATTCAGCAAATGTCTCCGGCACACAAAGAACTAAATGACCAGAGGAGCCACAACTATTGATTAAATATCCATGAATCCATTTTAACTGGTTAAATTCTTCAACTCTCCCACGCTGCTTCAAGGTCACTGTGAGTTAACATAGCCGCGGTGTGCAGCACACAACACAACACGATGACATCATCGACTTGTACAGTGCTGAAAGGCGAGACAGTCTCAACTTTCAGCTAAAAAAAGACCGCTCTAGCTATTATAGTTTTTATTTTATGTCAGATTACAGTATAAACGGGATCTTACTAGCAGGGCACCTCCAGCGGCCCGCTGCCGCTCCGTTTTTCGTGGGGTAAATAATACGTAGCTCATTTCCCGAGTCCAAATAGAAAGGCGAATGGCGCCGGCGCGAGACCTGCCGCCCGCCGTCAATGTATTTCAGCAAAATTCTCAAAGACTCGTTTTAATTTGATAGCGTTTTGTTATCAGCCTTTCGGTTTTCCCACTCTTAGCTTTTCATAAAAGCTCATTTGACAAAGAAAAAGCTAGCGGTTGGAAGTAGTTCTAAATACATGCAATGTAAGAAGCTAGCAAAAGACATTTGAAGGGATCATCATAGCACCATGCAAAACGTTCAGATTAGAGAGGTTAGTTAGTCAATAAGTTGGGGGACAGGCGGGAAAAATACCAACTAAATAATAAAGAGATGCATACCTGCATCTTTTCCTCGTTTCTCCTCCTCTTCTTTTCTTTTTTTCCGAAATTGGGCACCTGATGGCTTCGACCGCTTCTTCTCCTTATGTTTGTGAGCGGTGATATGTGAAACGGTACCTGTATCCTTCCATCATCACTCTCCGAGATCCCTCCGCCCCCCACCTGATGAAGGGCGCTATAGAGCGCACTACAGAGGTGCGGCGGACACAAGGGGGCGCAATAAAATCCCAATATAAACGCAAACAATGACTTTGTTGTGCTTTTATTACAGAAATATTATTATTATCATCACTCATCACTATTATTATTATGAAGAACATGTGATTTCTATGTTTTGTTGATGTATCGGTTGATGGAAGAAAAAAAAAAGAAAAAAAAGAAATTAAATGGCGCCCCCTCCAGACTGCCGCCCTGTTCGGCCGCACATGTTGCACATATCAAGCTCCGCCACTGTGTGTGAGTAGTAAAAGCTGCTGTGGTTGATCACATCACAACATAAAGACCAGAACATGAGAGAACACAAAGTTTCTCATAGATGACATTAAAAACACAATTCCGTACTATGATTTATATTCCTTCTGTAATGTCGTAGCATATTAGTTCCGTGTTCTTCCACAAAACCTTAAAAACTCATTTTCATTAGAAATCGTGCTCTAAAAAAAATCTTTGGCAAATACCTCCATTTCTTTAACTGATGGGAGTTTTACATTTGTACAACAATTCTTTCCCTTTCCAGCTCTTTCTTTCTGCTTTAATATTTGGTAGATGATAAACAGAGACATTTTTAAAGCATAACATTCAGAGGCAAACAGAGGAAAAGTGTGTATCTAATATCTGATATAAAGCCAAAGTGACAGAATACAGATGCAGCAACTCAGGAAAAACTCCAGCTGCAGCTGGTCCACGTCAGAGACCTTCAGAAAACAAAATATCCACTCCATAGAGCCAAGAAACTCATGTTCTTATGAAATTTATGAGGCTGATAAAGAAATACCCTAACCAAGTGCACATGTTCTGGAGTGTATGAATGAAACATCTGCAGCACGGACTGATTATCCCAAAGAATCTGACACGCTGAGGAGAAATATTTCAGGATTTTTAAAATTTTCCCCTTCTTGTTTTCATCCATCTTGTTATCTTTTAGTAAACTCACCAGAGAAAACCCACCCTGCTATGGCTTAAAAACCCATCATTTAAACATGTGGAACACTCGTTTAATCAATACATTTGCAGTGGTCTCTAGTTGGACTGAATGCCTTGTAAGTCATACTCTGGGGGCAGAAAACACAGATGCACCATTTCCAGGAACTAGATGTGAGCTATATCACAGCAGAGCTTCAGAAGGCAGGTTTTGGAGTCTTATTTTCTGATGTTTGGACATATCGCCTTGCAAAACAGGCTTCAACACAAGCAGTTGTTTCCCACTTGGTCTCAGTGCTCAACCATTGTCTATTTAATATAGCGCAAAATTGTATTGGATGGTAAAAAGTGCAGGGGACAAAAATTGATTTTGGAAAAAGTACAGGGGACATTTCCCACCCCCCACCCCCAGACTACATCCATGTCGCCTTGGGTTGGGTAAGAGCAACGCGACTATACCATTGACTTGCAACGATGATGTTTAATCTTCACAAATATCAACTATCACAAAGCTGCTAATGCTAATGATTAGCTTCTGCTAGCTGAGACGTTCGTTGCTGTTTCCTGGACGCTAAACCAACAACAGCCTGAATACATGAATGTTAAGTGACAATGTGACATAGATCTGTCAGGCATTTCAAATCCCAGAGTTTCACCATCTATTTTCTATCAGAAGCTAATGCAGGAGATGGTAAATGGTAAATGGTCTGTATTTGATATAGTGTCTTCTTGAGTCCTGGACCTGGACCCCCTCAAGGTGCTTTATAACACAATCCGTCATTCACCCATTCACAATGTAGCCACAGCTGCCCTGGGGCTCACTGACAGAGGTGAGGCTGCTGAGCCACTGGTCCCTCTGACCACCACCAGCAGCCAAGGGGGGTTAGGAGTCTTGCTCAAGGACACAATGACAGCGACAAGCTGAGCAGGGCTCTAACCTGTAACCTTCCGATTACGGGGTGAGCACTTGACTCCTGTGCCACTGTCACCCCATGGGAGATGGGGCAGGAGACTATTTTCATGTTCAGCCTGCATGAAAAACTCAGAGTGACCAATTATAATCAGAAATATAATTTTAAATATCGTTTTTCAGCGTTCCACACCTTTGAGATAAGCTTAAGGATGAAGACGAGGTCCCCGGGGTCATAATTCTGCCATGACGCTGGACACCACAGCAACGCTCCCTCTCTCTCTCTCTCTCAAGAGAATAAAATACTCTTTTCCGTCTTCTTCTTCTTTTGACTTCAGGGTTGTGTAAACATCAGTGCCAGACCTGAGTGGGATCAAAGTGCTCATTAAAGAAGCCCACAACCCTGAGAAATGGCAGACCAAATAGCAGCCCATCGTGACGGGCAAGAACTAAATCTGGAACAAGGGCACGCTTTCATTTCCTAGGAATGGAATGGGTGTCTTAGGCAATTGCAATTGAGCAACTACAGTTTTTAAACCAGCGCTTTTTTATAAAAGCCACAAAAATACACAAGTTTTGTCCACAAACAGACAGACGGATGATAGATAGATAGATAGATAGATAGATAGATAGATAGATAGATAGATAGATAGATAGATAGATAGATAGATAGATAGATAGATAGATAGATAGATAGATAGATAGATAGATAGATAGATAGATAGATAGATAGATAGATAGATAGATAGATAGATAGATAGATAGATAGATAGATGATAGATAGATGATAGATAGTTTCATTTCCATACCACAGAGATGTGTGAGTTTCTGTTCGTTTAATGTTTCCGCCAGCTGGGCTAAAATCGTTGAAATGCCGCGTTCTCTAACAGAAACACGCTGCAGCATCTGCTGACAACGGCTGAACACAAAGTGCGAGTCACAGTTGATTAATATCGTCTTTCTCTTTTTCTGTCAGAGGTTGTGATCAGAATGAAAGCTGCCCCTTGCATCTTTCACAAGGCCTCTGAGTGAAAGCATAACACCAGAGCACAATTACATGTCACCACTCACCGGTTTCCTAAAGACTCAGAAATGTTAACATCTGAGTGAGGGACAATGGGTTTTCCAGCAGCAAATGTAAATCCAAAGCGACCTTTCTTTAAACAGAGAGGGAATGAAACAATCTGAAATCATCTGTTGATGCAAAATTCTATTTGAGTCTTTGTGATTATGGCTTTCCCACTATTGCTCTGTAATTACAGGCCCCGCTCTCCTTAGCAGCGGGGTTCGCATTACAAGTGCGGTTATCGACATGTGTGTGAGAGCGAGTGAGAATGTGTGAGAGTGAGTGTACGTGACGGGCGACGGAGGAATACGGCGCGGCCCGAGCGTGCCTGCGGTTAACCTGTCACCTTCAACGTCCACTCAGGACCTCTAATTATCAGAAGTGAGGCCCTCTTGTGTGACTGGATAGATTAAGTGTGTGAGATGTGCTGGTGCACTGATGACAGGTGTGTTCAAGACTTTAGTTTACGTGAAATCTTCTATGGTTTTAATTCCTAAAAAGTGCACAACTATTGTCAGTTCTCCTTACATATATTGAATAAAAAATTTTTTTTTATTATATGATATAGTTTGAGTCAGAAAGATCAACTTATTGGTCATAGCAAATAATAAAAAAATTAACATTAAAGTTAAATAAATAAAATCTGCATCCCAAACAAAATAAGTTGCTGATGGTACTAAAATAAAATAATATCCACACTTTAAACTAAATTATTTCCTGCTCCCATTTAAAAATCAGGATTTGTTTTTTTACAGTTCTACCACTCAGAAAGAAACTGAAAGTGATTCATTTCTGTGGGTAGTTTTATTGATTTTTCTATAAAATATTGTAATTTAACCCTCCCACTGTCTTTATGGGTGACCCCGCGAGGAAAGTTGACCATTGAGCAGAGTCGATGGTTTATCCCTTGAAGTCCACGTGGCAGGGGTGAGGAGTGAGCACCACCTCACCCCTGCCACGTGGATTTCAAGGGATAAACCATCAATCCTGCTCAATGGTCAACTTTTCTTGCGGGGTCACCCATAAAGACAGTGGGAGGGTTAAAAAAATGAGGAGGAAACAGCAGCATCTGCTCATCAGAGCTGTAGTTTGAAGGCCTGCATTTGATAAAGAGCCTTGTAGACTCCTGTAACCACCCAAGGCACTTTACAACACAATCATTCACCCACAACATGTTCATATCCTGGTGATGATGAGCTACAAAGTAGCCACCGCTGCCCTGGGGGGCACTGACAGAAGCATGGCTGCTGAAAATTGGCGCCACCAGTCCCTCCAACCACCACCAGCAGACAACGTGGGCTAAGAGTTATGCCCAAGGATAGCAACAGATTGAGCGGGGATTGAACCTGCAACCTTTCCTGTTGTGAGTCAAGATGGATGAGTCCATGAATAGTATAACAGGGACAGCAGTAGGTCAGGAGGTAGAGCAGGTTGTCCAGTAATTGGAACTCTAAGAAGGCGCTATACAAATTGGCCTTTTACCAAGTAACAGTGTGATGTAGATGTGTCAGGGTTTTCTGATCCTAGAGTTTCACCATCTATTTGCTGTCATAGCTAATGCAGGAGATAGGTGTAGGAGACTATTTTCATGAAGAGCTCTGAGTGATCAACTATAATCATAAATAATCATTACAAATGATTTTTCAGCACCTTTAAAACAATTTTAATTATTAGATGAAGCTGTTATTTTCATGGTAATGTGTAGAACAGTTCAATGAGGCTTTTGTACCAGCTCACATCTTGCATATCTTTAATGTTTTTTACACGTTGTTTTCATTGAACTCAAACAGAAATGTGATATTCTAGATTACAACCCCTCAGCACAGTTGTATTTTCCCTTCATCACTGATGTTTGTTTTGTATGCACCCAAAAGCACCAGAGGATTAGGTTAAACGCTCGCCTCCTCGCTGTAACAGCAGCACTTTTAGGGACCGACCAGCACGGGCCTTTTAGGTTAAACCACATTTTAACGGTGGAATTTCGACTCCCTGGCGAAGTCATCCGTCACAAAGAGGACAGGGCTGAGTTGTAGTTTCTTTAAGGTCCGGAGACAGCGTCAACAGTCTCACTTTTTAACTGTAGATAGAGATATTCCCAGATGAGGTTCAGACAGGCCTAACCCCAAATGATGAATTAGGCCATTCACCTCTCCCGAATCCACACAGGACTCTGTGTATTTTGTCACATGAAAACACAAGGTTGCCTCTTGTACGCCAGGCCCAAGTATGTAAAAACAGAGGAAATAGCTGAAAGAAAAGGTGTCATTTTTCTTCATCTGAAATAGTAGAAGTGTGTGTGTGCATGTGTGTGTGTGTGTGCGGCCCAGGAGGAAAAGAAAAAGCGAGAGTGCCTACATGCGTGAGAAGCACACGGAGAGAAAGTGGGACCATGAAGGGAGAAAGAGAAACCGGCCTCTAATTCGCTGATCTCAGCTGATTACATTTTCCCGTCCAGACGGTAGACATTCCTTCAACCTGTGGCCACGACCGTCGGGCCCCTCGGTTTTTACTTTGCAGCAGAATACCATTAGAGCAAAACAAGCCCGCGTCTATGCAGGCCACAGAAACAGGTGGGCGTGACGAGTGAAATCCTGACATACACAGACAGAAAGTCTTAGAGGACTTTCAACCTTAAGCACGTCAGATTTTCTCACAAACATCAAAAAGGCAGTGAGAGAGCTACAGCTCCCTTGTGGTCTCTGTTTGTTTAGATGTCCGTGAAAACACAACATTTGCGCCTCAAAGAGTTAAACATCAGATCTGTTGGCTGCCGTAATTGCAGCCTTGGATTGCGATCTGACTGAAGCGATGAGTGGGAATCTGTCGCTCCTCCAAAGAGAAAACCGCCGGGACGGCCAGAGAAGCACATGGTCATGAATCAGGCTCGGACAGCGATAAGAGGAGATGTAACACAGAAAATGTGAGTCACAGCATGTGAGAGTGTGTGTCCAGGCCGCACCTCTGAACTAATACACCAAGAACAGCTGAACACAAACATGAATAAAAAGCACTTTCTTTTAGAAACATTTTACATTTCTGTTGTTTGAATTTGTTCAATTCCTACAGAAAGTGAAATTCAAAAGTGTTTAATACAATAAAACACTTTTAAATTGTGAAAAATTAAAGTTGCATGGTGATGATGGATTTTCCAATGGACTTTATGTTATAAGTGACATCACTGGATAATAAAAAATAAAGTAATTGAGTTCAAACAGCATGTTACTGTCATAGCTGCAAATGCATCCCCCTTTAATGTACAATTATATGCAGAAAAACCATGATTACTTCCATGAAAAGAAGCAAAAAACCTCCTAGGGTTTGGTTAGTAACATATTAGAGAAAAAGTACTTAAATGCTTTTTCGGTTGTTATTAATTTACAATTATTGGTCAAAGTCCATCCAAAAACTCACTAAACATACTGTATATATGAAAGATGAGATGACTGATAGGACCTGAATAGTAACTCTTTTAATTGATATTTCCAAAAAGTTTGAATAAAAACAAAACATGTCAAAACGTTATTTTAATGTGTCCTGTTGTTTCAAGAAGTACATTTTTGCTGTCAGATGAACATAAAAAAGAAAAAAAAGGAATTGGAGTTGAAGTAGCATGCATCACAAAATGAACAAATTGTCCTCCACCACTGCTGTGCAGCTGCAAACACATGCACTCAGTCAAAACACACACCTAACCTCAACAACAGTGTCACTTTTTCCGCCGCGAGGGCCACAAAGGTCAGAGAAACACTGGCAGCGCTTCAGCCCCCCTCCCCCTTCTCTGCTGCTTGGCAGGCCGTACATTTACTATCAACAGGAAACATCTTTCTCTGCAAAGGAAGTGTTACTCTCTAATTGGCCTGATGTGATTCAATGACCTGGCTGCTGCAGCCAATGGGACGGGCGTTATTTTAGGATGAGGTATAAAAGGGAAGAGGCCTTTCCAGAATGCACCAAGTTCTCACACTGACTACACGGCGTGCTCTCGGGTCTACTTCTGCAAAGTTAGGACTGTACAAAGATGCATTACTAAGCACATCTGGTTTCATTGTTGTTTCATGGATCCCATAACACATCATGAAACCACAGTCTAAGCAAAAGAAGATGGGGGGAAACCCAGAGTGTAGAAAAACTGACCTGGTTACGATCCTCCAGTCTTGGCTTATTCATGCTTTCTGCACTTTTTTTCCTGAACAGAGGAAAATGATCTATGCATCCAGAAGCATTAAACATATAGAAACATAAATCATGCCAGAGCTAGCAGGCATGAGAAGCAGAAAGGAAATCCCCCCAGAAAGATTTACTGTTTTTTCTTTCTCTTTCCACAAATATTCACAATCTGAGTTTTTACTGAACCTCTTCAGCTCCCACTTATGTCATTTTTACTCCACACATTCCAAAAGGTGACTGTTCCTCCTAACTTTGACTTCCCCTTTTGTGTGTGTGTGTGTGTGTGTGTGTGTGTGTGTGTGTGTGTGTGCGTGTGCGTGTGCGTGCAAAAAGCATGAGAACACAGCCAAAAATATCATAACACAGAGGGTGACATTAGGGAGCGCAGGCCGTAGCGGCGGGGAGCAATGACGGAGTTCCCTGATTAGCACGTTACCATGCAGAGACAAAGGGCCTCTGAATCACAGGAAACAGAACAATCAAAGAGATGGCGCACATTCCAAGAAAAGCAGCGTGCCTCAGAAACACAACATGATCCGAGACACTGCTCCGTCTGAACATCTGATGAAAGCCTCAGCTGAGCAGGAACACTGAATTATTAGCAAAGAATGACTCCAAGGACGAAGCAAATCGCTGAAATCTTAAATTACTGAAGCGCATTTATCAGGCGCCGCCTTTGATCTCCGGTCCACGCGTATTCCTGCTGATGGCTGGAAAATCAAAAGAAGACACAAATCTGAGGCGTATTTGGATAGGAACTGGGCCTAATTACATGTTCCATACAGTTTCCCTGACAGGTATTTTCATACGCAAACAGACACGGAGCCCTCAAAAGTGTGGGGTCCTTTTCCCCCTAAAACACACCAGCGGGCCCACACAGGATCTCAGAGTTCTGTTTGCTCCAAGCCTGGACTCAGGAAATAACTAACTCTTTACCCTCACTCCAAAATGGCAGCTCTGTTTCCGCAGCGCTGGTTTGCTGGATTAGAACAATTCCCCACCAGGCCGTAATTTGTGGGACTCTCATAACATGACACGCCCTGCCATACATTTCCATTATAACCCACTTTTTGTCCCCCTCATAAGGATATTTCAGGACAATTCCTCAAGTAGTCATTGAAGGACCCCTCTATATTTTTGTGGCTACGTTGGGTAGAGACTTCCACAGATGATCAATTAGCTGCCCCGATTTCTCCTGAATTGTTCAGCGGCAGGTAACAGCAGAGCTGGGTAAAAAAAAAACAACGTGGTTGCACAAATTCTAGGTCAAGCAGAGATGAAGGAAATCTATTTTCAGGATAATGTGCTGTTTATCTCTGTGTGTAAAACCAGTGGAGCACCTCTTCCCCCACAAGTCAGGCCCATGGCTCCAGCTTGTGGGCTGTGTGGCTACATGTGATGCAGATGCTAGATTATCTGCTTTCTCTTTTCTCTTTGCTGGGCCTTGGTGGCTTCACGTCTTCCCCCTCCCCCCCAGATTTGAAACAGATCTTG